AATATGGTTCTTGAGATATCTTTACCCAGGTGTCATAGTAAAAGCTATGACCAACTCCCTCCCCTTCCCGCCCCCCAATATGGGAGAAGAGAAATAGAGAAGGATTTCATGGAAGAGGAGAGTGTGGCTAATACCGGAAGGATTTTTTGCTGGAGAGGTGTCAGGCTTGAGGAACCGGGATCACTTGAGATTACCTTAGGAGAAAACTCCTGGGCAGTGTTTGTATGTGTAGTTTCTTATGGATGCAGAATGGTTTATGCTTAGAAAGAGAAGTAGACTTTTGAAATTACTCACTAATTTATCTCTGAGGGCACAAAATTAATCTTTTAAAAGCATACCTAATGTAAGGTTCATTTAAATACCGGTCTTCTAGAAATCTGAGCTGCTACTCCTGTATCCTAAGTATGTGGGACCACCTGGGTGGCGCAATAGGTTAAGCATCTGCCTTCAGCTCAGGTGCTGATCAGGGTCCTGGGATGGAGCCCAGCTTCAGCTCCCTGCTCAGCAGGGAGTCTGCTTCTTCCTCTACCTCCCCCCATCCCACCCTCTCCCTGGCTTAAGTGCATAGGCACTCTCTCTCTCTCTCTCTTCAAAAAGAAAAGAAAGAAAAGAAAACAACAACAACAACAACAAAAAACTTTAGCATGTGGCTTTGAAGATGTTTCAGTCTTAAAGGTTATTAGGAGTTAGAGAAAGCAGTGTAGACGGTTGGTTATACCTCAGCTCAAGTTAAGTTCTTACTTGCTGTGTAATGTGAATTAAGGAATTTTATCTCTTTAAGCCTTAGTTTTTTCAATGAAATAATGTAGTTAGACTCAATTTTCTCTGATGTTCTTTTTTAGTTCTATAATTGTGATTTTTAAGAGAAAAGAGATCTTGTTTTGTAATATTCGAAAGAACCTAATACTTGAGTTATCACAAAATTAAATACAGCTCATGAAACTTAATAATCATGATTCTTTGTGAGAAAAACAAATAGATTTAAGAGACAAAAACAAGTTCTGAAGAAGTAGGATTATAACACAGGGTTTCTTAGTTTCTGACCTGCCATTCTTTCAATAGAATCTAATTGTATGTACTTTGTCCTAAATAATAAGAGAATGGGAATGCCTCTTCTGCCTCCCAGTTTCTCTGCTAATAATGTCTGATTATTTTCTCCATGAAAGCTCACCATCACCTAAGCCCTAAGCTGAGAGACCGTCAAATCAGTTAAGTATAGGATTTAGAGCAGATGGTCACAACCAATATAGGTTACCAATGTATTCTGTGTTCAAACAAGTACAGACCTTCATAGCGTAGTATCAGTTGGATATTTTGAGTTAACCTTAGCTCTGGTCACTTTAACTAACCCTCATATTTAGCTGAGAAGAACTGTGGCTTTATTTATGAATTCATTTTACAGAACACTGCACACAGACCTCCAATGTTTGCTTAGTTTGCCGAGGGCAGTGTTGTATGGCTTCATGAGTGTCCCATGCAGTGAAAATGCTTGTCAGTGGGGCTTTAAAAAGTGGACTTCTCACTGATACGGATATTCAGTACACCTAACACTCAGAACCTGATTTTATTTTATTTTATTGAGACACACATGGATCTCACTGGTAATAGATTGTTTTTAATTTTAGAATTATATGCATTATATATGATGGACCACTTTACTAAATATTGAGCAATCGAGCTCAACGGAAAACATTGATGCTTTTTGAAAGTTATATTCAGGGTATTCAAGGGGGAGAGGTGTAATTTGTAATTGATATGCAAGGAACTTTAAGAAATGTAGACTACCCTTGTGTGCACTGCTGACAGGAATGTAGAATGGTATAGCCACTCCAGAAAGTTTGGTGGTTAGCACCAAGGCTGTGTAACAAGCATTCCTGAACCGGTGGCTCCAAGAAGTCCTAGCCACTGATGCTGGCCCGTTCCGAGCAGCTCCTGGCCTAGGATCCAGCAGTAAGGCCCCCTCCCTGGTGGGTGACTGCTTTTCTGTCTTCCTTAAATATTTAAACAGAATTATCATATGATCCAGCAATTCTTCTCCTAGGTATATATTCAAAAGAATTGAAAGCAGGGACTCCAATAGATACTTCTACCCATGTTCACGGTAGTATTGCTCACGATAGACAGAAGGTGGGAACAACCCAAATGTACATCAACAGAAGAGATAAACAGGTTTGGTGTATATACACATAGTGAAATACTATTGACCTTCAATAGGATGAAATTCTAATACATCCTACAACATGGATGAAGCTTGAAAACATTATGCAAAGTGAAATAAGCCAGACACGGAAGGACAGATATCATGTGATACCACTTAGATGCTAGAATAGGTGAATTTATAGCGACAAAAAGCAAAATAAAAAGTAGCAGGGACTGAGAGAAGGCGGATGAGTTATGGTTGAATGGGTAGAGTTTATGTTTGGGATGATGAAAAGATGCTGGAAATGGAGAGTGGGAATAGTTTCACAACATTGTGAATGGGGGCACCTGGGTGGCTCAGTCGCTAAGCGTTTGCCTTCAGCTCAGGTCATGATCCCGGGGTCCCAGGATCGAACCCCGCTTCGGGTTCCCTGCTCAGTGGGAAGCCTGCTTCTCCCTCTCCCCTAGCTTGTGTTCCCTCTCTCATTGTGTCTCTCTCTGTTATGTAAATAAATAAAAATCTGGAAAAAAGAAAAACATTGTGAATGTACTTAATGCTATTAAACTGTACACTTAAAAATGGTTAAAGTGGAAGATTTTATGTTACGTATATTTTATCGCATGTGAACACACGGACACACACATGTGCACACACATGCGCACAAATGGACGTCAAAGAAGCAGCGTAGGGCCATTTCTAAGTCTTGCTGTATTAAGTCCTGTTTTTCTACCTTTTTCATGGCTTTGCTTCATTCGCCACAGAGAGCTCAGTATCCTCGATGTTGGCCTGATGGACGTGTTTAGGTCAGAATCCACTGGTTTTGCTACAAGGAAGTTTGCTTTATATATTTGTTGAAAAATTTGAGGGTGGGTAGGTGAGGGAGACGTAGTTTAATGTGGGAAAACAGTGCATGTTGGACTTAACCATGCTAACAAGGAAAGCGTGCCTTTGTGGCAAACCGAAAGGCTAGGAATCCCCAGTGATGAAACACAGGCCTTCCGGCCCTCACTCTGTTCCTGATTTCTGGTTGTGGGAATCTGTTCTGAATCCAACTGCAAGTGGAAAACCCATCTTTGGCTGGGCAGCCAGGGCGGCCCTCCTGCCAATCCCCTAAATGTGTTGTTGAAACTTTGGCCCTGTGAGGATAGAGCTGAGGCTGTCTTCCCAAGATCTGTGCAGCTGTCAAGGTGGCAGGGATGGGACTGTGACCGCCTCTACACCACATTTTGGCAGTGACCTTGAGACCTGCCAGCTCACAGCAGCTGTCCTGGTTCTTTCTCTCCTGCCACGGTTGCCTGGCTAGGGGGCTGAGGGGAGGGAGCTAAACTCCGCTGGCTCTGGCATTCTCTGGGGACTGGCAAGTTCCAACTTCAGTGCCCAGCTCTCTCAGTGCCTACCACCCACTGGGCGCGGTGGCAGTCCAGGTGCGTGAGTGTGGGTGGCTGCTAGTGCCACCTCTGGCTCAGCTCCCAGTCTCCGGGAAGTGGGTGGCCCGGGTGGCCCCAGTGGCCCCGGTGGTCCTGTCTGACCATCAGCCGGGTAAGCAGATAGGCTCTGGGGGGTGTGGGGGTAAGCAGGGACCTGCTTAGCAGCTCCAGGGAGAGATGCTCAGTGACAGTTGATGATCTCCGGAGACTGAGGAGCCATAGGTGCCCCTTTTGTCCCAAAGGTATGAGCCCATCTTCTGGACCGGAGGGGTATCTTTAGGAAATGAAGGTCACCAGAGATGTCTAGAGCGAGAGAGAAATCTTTTCTCTCCAGCCACTGAGAGTGGCAAGTGTATTTTGAAAACTCCTCCCCCTCTCCTTGTCCTCGTCCTGTCCTTTTCCTTTCAAGTGGCTTCATTAGTATTTTTTAATCCGCCTTTGTCATTGGACATTTATTGACAGAAATCAAATTGCTGTGTTTCTGGGCAAAGCGCCTGCTGCAAAGAGGTGTGGTTCCCGGGGAATGAGACACGCAGCCCAACAGCTGAGCCTACACTGTCCTCACATAACCTCCCTGCCTTAAATATCGCCAATATTTAGCCTTGCCTTATAAAGTAAAAATGCACAATACCTTCCAGAGTTTCAGCAAGCCCAAATGCCCCCCTCAGCTCAGTTATATCTCCTGTACGTTGGAGGCAGAGCCGCGTACCCCTCCCCCCGCGCAGACCTGCCCTCGGAGCCGCCAAGAGGTTACTAATCAGGGAGCCTCCGCCATCGATCCGATGGTGGAGACCTGGGGGATTTGTGTGCATTGTTTTTGCTGAAGCCTCCTGTGATTTCGGCGCGACCAGATCCTCTGCAGCGCACTCCATGTCGCAGCTTGTGGCTGCCTGTGTCCTGTGGTGAGAGCGGAGCCGCACAGGAGATCCTTTGTCTAGGAAGGCTAGCAAAGAAGATCACTTTGGAGTTGCTAAGCTCTGCATTGCCATTGGCTGCACTCTTTGTGGGGCTGTTTTTGCAAAAGGCATGCCCAGCACGTCTACAGTGCTGGCAGGCCAGGGCTGCCTTTAAACACCATGATAATAATACCAAAAAGCAGTTTGCAGAACTGTTCCACTGTAGAGGCTTCCTCTGCAGAAGCAAGCAAGATGGCTACCTCGTGGGCTTCGCTGTGAAGAATGCAGAGGCTAATTAAGACAGACTTTAAGGGGAAAAAAGGGTATTTCCCTACTTCATCTTTATGCAGGGCTTTTTTTCAGTGACTTTTAAAGTATACATTTTACATAAGCTCTTTAGGTTCTGTCTAGCAAACATGTTGATGATTTTAAATGGTCTAAGTAGTTTTATAGAGAAATAGCCAAAAATTTTGGGGGGGTGGGAGCTAATTTTTTTTTCTTAAACGGAGGCTCATTTTGCAATTTGATTTTTTTTAGGTTATAAAAGAAAACAAGAGGCCCCAGAGGGAAAAGAAGCCCAAAGTTTTAAAGGTAATCAGTTATTGATTAAATCATATTTAATTTTTTGCCATTTCATATAGTATTTTTCTGTCACTTAGGAGTAAATTTGGAGTACAGTGGATGTGAATTCTCCCGGATTTTCAGTAGATAAATGAATTTTCACTCAACTGAAGTGTTTCTGTCTCTCTCCCTCTCTCTCTTTTTTTGATGTGCTGTATGGTGTACATATTAGCATCCTTTATTTTCAACTCCACACAAGTCTGCAAAAGGAAAAGTTTATATGCAAAGTGTTGTGAATAAAATTTGTTTTTCTTTGTAGATCCTTTTGTAGCATCTGCCTTTGTGGTGTTGCACCAGTGTGTAAACTTAAGCTCTTGAGGAGACACTATTTGAAGTTGACAGCTATGATCCATTGTGATTTTAATAGACCTTCCATTAGATACTATTTTAAAATGTGTGGTTTTGCTTTCCAAAGAGAAAGGTCCTTAGAGGTTTTAGTTCAACTTAAAATATGTAAGCCATCGAGATCAGCCAAATTATCATTGCCTGATCCCAGATTCTCATTGTATCATTTTTAATTTTGGCATTCATAGAGCTGTAGAAATATGCATGTATTCTTTATTTTCAGTAGTTTGCCTAATGAGTATTTAGCAATAACCTAATTTGGTTGTAAGCTAACAGTCTGTGATATGAGCTTTGTACAGTATTTAGAAGGGTTAATTTAAAAGCATATGGCACTACTCAAAGTTCAAGGCTAGCTTTAGTTTAGCAAATGGGTGCTTATGTGTTAAAGGTTTCAAGTGGCATATTGCTGTTATAAATGTAAGCAACCTGAGCAAGTAACCTTTTTAATTAAAAAAAAAACCAAAAACCTTAAGCAATAAAACTGATCTTTAAAATTATATCGTGTATATATAATTAACAACATTTTCACCTAATCTTAGCTTTTCTTTTGCAAATAAAGTTTTAGCACTCAAAGAGGAACAACATGTTGAACTATGGATGTGGCAAATTTTTATGTCATTTGCTTCCCCCGTTGTGTACCTTGAAAATGTTATTGACATGGAGAACCAAACCTCGCATTGCTTTCAAATTTGTCTGACCACCTTGAGTTTCTGTTTCCTGTGTGTACGCGGCCGTTGCCATGTACATTTTCATCAACCAACAAGTATTTGTTTAATATTTACCACACAGCCATCAGTGTTCTAGGCACTGTGAAATGAATGAAATTGCTTGGCACAAATTCTCATTGGGCCTGGACAAATAGAATACTGGTTATTTTCAAGGTAAATTAACCCCTACTGTTTTTCTTCTGGATATTGATCCACTCGCCCCCTTTTACTTCCTTCCCCTCCTCCAACTGTCGAACTATATCATTAAAAGCCCTGCTTGTATTTCTTAATCTCTTCTCACACTTTCTGTGTTGGGTGTATCCATCTCAGGTGTTTTGTCTTCAGATTTTCAAGTGAGAAATCATTTTAGTGCTGCTGTTAAAATGGCTCTCAAATTTGCAGGGGTTAGGGTGGGGGCATAGAGAAAGAGTTCAATTGCATGGACAGACTGATCTAGAAGAAGCTTGGTAGCTAAATCATCATTTGCCTTTGCTAGGAAGTGAAATTGGGTTTTGGGGGATACTACTTAATTCTATGTTTATTTTGTTAGTCTGTGGGTGTCCTGTCACCTGAAATAAATTTCAGAAGTAAATATACCGTGTGTTGCTTTTTTGAATTTTGGCAGTGGACTCTGACTTATTTTAAAATAAAGTGCCTGTGAGTGGCTGAATTTCATGTGCCATAGCAATGGAACTGAACTGTTGCTCACTTTCCTCTATAGTTGTCAATTGTTATACAGGAGTAGGGAAATGCCCTAAAAGGAAAAAAATAATAATTTTTTCCTCTGATGTTGGCATTTTAAAGTGTTTTCTTTAATTTTCTATTGGCTATAATATATTTCATTCACCAGAGAAAGCTTTGTCTCTTTGTTCCAAAGTAGAAATGCTAAAATACTTTCAGATTTTAGTTTGATATGTGTAAAATAGGTAGAATATTGTACAACCCTGAAGGAGATGTTATGAAAACTAAATTCATATTTTGGGAGGGAGGGCAGGGGAAGAGTACAACTTTCAGCTTAAGGTTTCATGGGTGAGGACTTAGCGTTCAGCTGGGTGCTACGTGGGAGAGCAGTGATGGGAGGCTACAGGTTACAACTTGGTCTCCTTTCATAATTCTCTCTTTGCCTTAGGCTTTGTGCCAGAGATCTAGTCCACTTCCTTTGACTCTGGCCTCTTAGATCTTCAGATCTGGGTCCCTTGCTCTTTGTCAGGGTGGATACTGCAGGTATCCTAAGCAAAGATTTTACCTGCATTTTCTGTGAAGAAGTAGTTGGACAGATGAAGAGTCTGATTAAGGAAATTGGGTGCAGAAGCCTGTCCCATTCTACTCTGAACCTGCTAACTAAATATTGAATCCAGTTGCAGGGCTAAAATTGCCTGGTATGTCTCATACCTCTCACTTTTAAGCACTCTATTATCTATATCAATAACCTGTATTCATTTTATTATAGTTCAGAATGTAAAAGTGTGGATAGTGACTTCAAATCCCTGACTAGAGAGAGAATTCTCCTCTAGCTGAAATGACAGTTTCTGTTCAAAGTGCTCAAACTGCCAGAACGGGTGTCAAATGATAGCGGTAGGAGGTAAGCAAAGCACAAATTCCCGTCCCCACTGGTCTGGAGGACCAGGTTCCTGCTCAAGCCCTATTTATTATCAACTAGAGTTATTTTATATATACGTGGCAGCTTATTGGCTGAGCTGTAATTGTCTCTTTGACTCTTAAGTAAAGTAAAAGTGGAAATAATTTCAGGTTTTGATTTATAAAATTGGACTTGTGAGTGGCATGATTTTGGAACTCCACTTGGCAGAAACATTTATGTAAATATAATCTCTACTTGGTGTGTCAGGGTAAGAGGATATATTCCCTTAAGAGAATGTCAGTTTTAAGGTAATACACTTCCGTTAGGTCATTAGTCATTGTCCCTGGAAAAAAATCAGATTGCATGGTCATTTGGGGGTATCGAGGGGAATTTAATAAAGGAATTGTTTAGAAGACATGGGCAGGGGTAAGGGCGAAATGAGGGATGGCAAAGCGTCCCAAGACTAGTGACTGCAGAGCTTTCTCACCGTTCTTAGACCTGAAGGGGCCAAGGAATGGGAGCAGAAACCCAGATAGAAACAGTAGTTGGAACTGAAGAGATGGAGGAGGGGTTTTTATTGCAGCCTTTGGTACAAGGATGTTTCTGCAGAGAGAAAGTTTTGGGGTCTGGGGGATGCAAATAAATACCCTGCCCTCCAGTTTTCTGCTGCTTTCATTCATGGATCTGATCAGAAGCCAAAAGGGACCAGTCGGCCAGTCAGTTGAGTGTGGACCAAGAGGGGCAGACAGGACATATTCAGCATCACTAGCGACTACAGGGACAGGATAGGATGATGGGTTCAAAAATGGTACCAGAACCATTATTACAATAGGGTAACATTAGACGTGCCTGGGTGAAGTGTATGTAAGAAACCCTATACTGTGTTTGCAACTTATCTGTAAATCTAAAATCATTTAAAAATATATATATTTTATTTATTGGGGTTCCTGGGTGGCTCAGTCATTAGGCATCTTCCTTCGGCTCAGGTCATGATCCCAGGGTCCTGAGATTGAGCCCCGAATTGGGCACCCAGCTAAGTGGAAAGCCTGCTTCTCCCTCTCCAACTCCCTCTGCTTGTGTTCCCTCTCTCGCTGTGTCTCTCTCTGTCAAATGAATAAAATAAAGTCTTTAAAAAAACGATTTTATTTATTTATTTAACAGAGAGAGCAAGAGAGCATAAGCAGGGGAATTAGTAGAGGAAAAGGGAGAAGCACGCTCCCCACCCAGTAGGGAGCCCAATGAGGGAGTTGATCCCAGGACCCTGGGATCAACACCAAGCCGAAAGCAGACGCTTAACCATCTGAGCCATCCAGGCGTCCCTAAAATCATTTCAAAATAAAAAGTGTGGGCATCTGAAAGCGGGAACCATATTTATACATTCTATAATTAGAGACACTCTTTCGAGGGCAGTAAGGGAATATTTTCTAGCTATTAGGTTATAAAATATAATCAGAGTCGCAATTGGAAGAACTGAGTGAACAAATACAAAGAAATGGCAGTAGATATTAAACCAGGAAACGGTCTACAGATGATTTAGAAAAGAAAAAATGAAAGCTAAGTGATCTTCCTGCTAGCTTCTACACTGGCAGCCCAGCTCTTCACTGTTTCCTTCCTTCCTTGATGATGCTGATAAAGGAGAGAACAAGTACTGCTGGCAGCTGATGGGGGACATAGACATACCTAAATAGATTTTTAAAATATTTTATTTATTTATTTTTCAGAGGAAGAAAGATAGCACAAGCAGGGGGAGTGGCAGGCAGAGGGAGAAGCGGGCTCCCTGCTGAGGAGTTTGATCCTAGAACCCTGGGATTATGAAAAGCGGAAGGCGGTTGCTTAAGCAACTGAGCCATCCCTACTTAAATATTTTTTGAAAACTGTTATAAAAGGAGAATCAAATCATAAATAAATCATATTCATATATGGTCTTGATTTGCATGACATAGTGACATTCAAAATATTTAGTACCATCATTGCCTGGCCCATAGTAAATGCTCAGTAAGCTCAGTTTCCTGAACAACATTGAATAATTTCTCCTTTTTTTTAGCCATATGCTAAATGCTGTGGCTACAATGGTGTATAAGACCAAAATGATTTCTGCCCTCATGGAGATTAACTTTGCTTAGGAAAAGCAGGCAAAAATTAAAGACAAATGAATAAATTACAAATTGTGGCATATGCTTTAAAGGAAACAAAAAAATTGCCAAGCTGGGGAAGTTTACTTCATATATTTGTGAGCTGTTCCCTTCATTTTTAAATTCTTATGCATTCTGGCGCTGATTTAAAAGTACCAAATTAGATACAATTGAGTTATCTTGTTTATTTTTAAAACCCATTAAGCT